TGTTAAAAACTGCAACTAAATCAGTTTCACATCCATCCAGGTGTCACAATCTGAACACTAAATCAGGTTTTTCTCTATAAACAACTTTAGGAATCAATAATAGAACAAGTTATAGCAAATAAAAGATCTCACTTTTACCCACATTTAATCAATTTAATCATCTTTTAAATATGATTCACTCTGTGGCTAAAACAGTTTTCTTGTTTTTCTTATTTTCTGTCTGGTTTTCGTTGTTTTGTCTTCATCTTTTGTCTCCCTTCTATCATTTCGCATCAGTTTTGTGTTCTTCTGTGTGTCTTTGGGGCATTTTTCTTCTCATTGTTGTCATTTTGTATGTCGTTTTGGTCATTTTGCATCCCTCTTTTGATGATTTTTTAAAATTTTGTCTCTCATTTTTCTTGTTTTATGTCTACAATGTGTTTTTCAGCTCTGAAAGTTTCACATGTCTCCTGCACTGATGAAGTTGTGAAGCTCAGAAATGATGTAAAAAGTTAACAAAAACACAAAATGTCCACTTCTATGTAATTTAGGGGCCTGTAGCTCTAAAAATATTCACAGCATGAAGGTAAAACTTTGCATGGTTTCATTAAATAAATTAAAGTCATTGTGGATTTGGAGCGGTGAGCTGATTCTGAGGAGATCTGCTTTGATTTTCTACGGGATGATCCTGTTGCGAAGAGCAAAAGGGCAGCAGCTGCTAACACTCGTCTGCATAGGAAAGCGTTCATGAGTTAGATATCCTGCCTCTCCGCGGGCAGCGCTAGTTACATGCCTCTCCACTAATGTACTCTAGCTCTGTGGGTACAGGCTTTACCTCACACTGGCAGTTCAATGCCACAAATTTGCCTTTTTTTTCATTTTCACAGACTCCTTCGGCATGACTTTTTATTTCCTCACAACTCCTCCTCCTCCTACTCCTCCTCCTCCTCCTCCTCCTCTTCTTCCCTCGACGAAGGGGGGGGGGGACGCCATTTTTAATTTCAAGTGCACAAAAGTAGAGCAGCTCCGCGATAGGCCGAGCTCTGTAGGAGTCACATTTCAGCACAAACCAGGGAGCTTCTTAGAGCTAAAATAGAAAACCGCCGCTGTTGATGTGCTCGATCACACTGATGTCAGATTTCTTCTAGTGTCATTTCTTAGAGTTTAAGTTCTTCATCTCCACTGGACCTCCTCCATAAAGGGGCTTTTTGTGTATGACGTTACGTGAGTCGGTGTTTCGGTTCCCCTCGGTGGAGCTCACCAGCCAATCACAACTGGAATATTTGAAGATCAACAGGAACATGATACTGCTGTCAGTGAAAACAGAAAAAATAAAAAAAAATAAAAAATCAAGTGACTATAGATGTAAACTTGTATGTAAAATGTACGAAGGGAACATATATTGCTATAATAATAATTCTCAGATATTACAGATATAATTATTGTTGTTAGTTTTATTGATATTCTTTTTTTAACATTACTTCCACATATACAGTGATTTGACACCTGTCGTCCTGCGGTGCGGATCAGGACGACCAGTGCATGTGGGGCGAGGGGGTTTAAACGCCACAACACCGGGGTCAAAACCACAACCTGACATGTGTTTCACTTCAAAGTGGATTCTGTAAGAGCTCCTTTAAGTGGCCCATTAAAACTGGCTTCATTGTTTATCTCGTCTCCGCTCCTTCATTGATCCTTGATAATGACGCCTAAATGGGGAAATGAAAGGAAGTAAATACACCCCCGTGTGGTATCACTGACATGTTAAATGATTCAGTTA